TGATTTCTAAACTAGCCCGTGGTCTCCAAGCGGGACGATGCTTCAGCACACAGAGCCAAGTCGTCGAAGAGTGGACCGACTACGGCTGCCCAACTTAACTGGCAAAGAGGAACGACAATCGTGCTCTCCAGATCTTAACACACCTGACTACTATTCATGATCATGGTTAGAAGAGACTTTGTCGGATTTGCAATACCAATTTGGAGTCGTGAAAACAAGAATCAAGAACGGCTGGGAAAAAACGATGTAAGGGTACCTGCGTGCCACATGCAGGAAATTCGACAGCAGGCTTCAGTCCTCTATCCGTGTTGATGCAGGGTTTTTTTAAATGTGAAAATAGCTCATTATTTTTTATGATATTAGCAGGCAGCATGCAGATTTCATTGTTATTGTCAGCTTATATCTCCTAAACCCATTACAATGAATAGGCGCACATAATTTTGCGACACCCTGTACATGACCTCCACTTTGCAGGCAAGATCGTGCGTAGCACCCTCAACATCAAGCAAGCGGAACGATAGCTGGCCCAATTCGACAGCGCTTGCGGAAGGATCGGCTTGCGACTGAACTCAATGGAGGCGATATTTATTAGCAAGGTATTGCCGCTCCTCTTACGCTACATGTATCTGTGAATGTTCTAGCTTCGTGTATCTTCCTAGAGGTCCCCATGATGGACACCTAACTCTAGAACTGAGCAGAGGGAATGGAAAACTATAAAGGTACAGTTCACGATAACTTTGGGGTACCCTTTTCAGGTTTGAAAAGCGAAAGTTTTGATACAGAGGAGTACATCAGTAAGTGAGAAAGCCAAAAAAANNAAAAAAAAACAGCACTCTTCAAGGCTTTTTAGAGGTTGTGGAAGTGGAGGTTGTACGAGATCACCGTGACGAAAATCGCATGTGAAGGGTGTATGGCCAAGATTTAACTTGCTCCCACTGCACAAAGAGATGACTACATCAAGCCGAATTCGTCCGAAACTGCCTATCACTGTCCATGGATTATTGCAAGTTGTTTGATCTTCTTTATGAGAGTCTTTCGATATAGTGCAGTCTCTACAAAGCCGTTGGAACTCGTCCACGATGGGTGTGGCATTCACACGATACAAGCTCTGTCCCCTTATCGTGCCCTACCCAATACGTTTTTCGACCTTATAACGGCTAATATGGCTTAAGGGTTAGCCTCGAATTCATACTGTAGGGGAATCTCAGAAACCATTTTTATCGCAAGTTGTGCCTCCAAGTTTCTGATCTGCCTGGCTGTATGAATAGCAGAAGAGAGCCGAGCGCCATCTGGCTACCTTAACAATCATTTATTATTATTCTGAGCAGTCATAGGCCACGTGCTGACTGCTTCCGTGGAAAAATCCTTTCGGTATTTCCTCTCCTCGAAGTAAGGAATCTGTGTTTCAGGTTGCTCGAAAATGTTCGACAATTGTGAGCGTCAGTGCTGACAGCGATCATTGATTGAACTGTAACGTTAGTTAGCAAATACGCTTTCTCGTCTCATTCAGCCCCATGCCATCCTGAGAATGACATTACGTGCATCACAAACGGTACATTTGGTTATACTTAAAGCAAATGAGTTAAAGAACTTTTCATTTAATTTGGCACTCAACGAATGAAATTCGAAGCCACTTTCTCAAAGGCACAGTTTACGTTAAAAATGGTTCCTAAGATTCCCCCACGGGATGAGTTTGAGGCCACCGCGTATACCATATCTGGCACTACTAGGTCGGAAAACGGCCGAGTTATAAAGGCTCAGAAATTGGCCCCGTGTGTATCCTCAGACGAGTTTCACCGGCATTGTAGAGGCTGCACCGATCACAAGGGAACCTATGTACGAAGTTCAAACAACTTGCCATGACCCATAGCGATAGTGAAAGCAGTTCTGTACAGTTCTGGCTTGATGTCGTCAGCTCTTTGTGCAATTGCAATAACTGAAATCTCGCCCGAACACCCCTACCATATTGACTCGTCATGGTAATCTCGCCCGAACTCTATTTTCCCTACTTTTGAAGAGCCATATTTTCTTGAAAGAGGCGAATTCTCTGGCTTTTTTCACTATCGATGAATTATTCTCAATCTATACTTCCGCTTGTCGAACAAAAACGGGTACCTCAAAATTATCGTCAACTGTGCCTTTAATACAAGTGGAAAGCAATGGAGAAGCAAGGAAAAGAGTTGAGTTATAGACTTTTGACTAATTGCAATAAGTCGTGGTTAACGATATGACGACGTTAACAATATGAGAGCTTCTGACAGAGCCCTTGCACAATTCCAGAATTCNATGAGAAATGACCTCTTAGCAAACTCAGAGTAACTTCAGAACTTTGGGCAAATCGTCGTCAAGATAAAAACGAAATCTTTCTACATNGCAGTTCTGTACAGTTCTGGCTTGATGTCGTCAGCTCTTTGTGCAATTGCAATAACTGAAATCTCGCCCGAACACCCCTACCATATTGACTCGTCATGGTAATCTCGCCCGAACTCTATTTTCCCTACTTTTGAAGAGCCATATTTTCTTGAAAGAGGCGAATTCTCTGGCTTTTTTCACTATCGATGAATTATTCTCAATCTATACTTCCGCTTGTCGAACAAAAACGGGTACCTCAAAATTATCGTCAACTGTGCCTTTAATACAAGTGGAAAGCAATGGAGAAGCAAGGAAAAGAGTTGAGTTATAGACTTTTGACTAATTGCAATAAGTCGTGGTTAACGATATGACGACGTTAACAATATGAGAGCTTCTGACAGAGTCCTTGCACAATTCCAGAATTCGTTATCTAGAAGATAAAAAAATAGGTTCAAATTTAATTTAATTAAGCTCAAAAAAAAAGAAACGAGATCCAGCGATCGGTCTTCATAAATTCGTCCAAAGAACTCTAGTCACCCCTTCGTACCTTTAGAAGCTCACGTTCATTTCCCATAGGAAACCCCGTTTCAAAACTCATCCATGGTATTCAACAAGCTCTAGCAAGTCCTACTCTCTTTCAATTTTGCATCATCACGAAAATTACAGGGCATTGTTGTAACATAACCTAGGAAAAACTGAAGGCATTTCAAGAAACCTAGGTGAATAAGTAGACAGTCACCCATCTCTCTTCATCGACACAAACTTTCTAGAGCCTGCACATGAGGTTTACTTCGTCAATAAATATGTATAACCGGATCCGTTACCGCCACGAGAAGTTCGACTAAAGTTGTGGTAGTAGAGTCTAAGAATTCCTTACCTCATTCCCACTGCTCACTAGCACCAGTACACTAGGACCCTAGGACTTGCTAGAGCTTGTTAAATCCCATGGATGAGTTTTGAAATGGTAGTTAAATTTTCCTATGGGAAATGTACGTGAGCTTCTAAAGGTACGAATGGGTGACTAGAGTGTTTTGGACGGATTTATAAAGACCATCTAGATCTTGTTTCTTTTCTTTGAGCTTAATTGAATTAAATTTAAACCTATTTTCTTATAACTTCCCTTGATACTAGCAGCGCTGATCAATCAATTCAATGTTGTTGTTCTTATCATTAAACAGTAAAGAGAATTTGAAGTGTTGAGAAGAACTACTGTTAGAAGAGGTTCTTCGTGCCAGAGTAGTTTTTGTAGTCTGTAATACTCTATCTGTGATATGGAAAGGTCGATAAGTCAAGGACGAACCGTAGACGACACCAAAAGGATTGTGAGAAACAGAACAAGCGCTATTTGCTTGTAATTTGTGATTTGTGACTTACGGTATCAGCAGAAAAGGTGGAATACTCGCTTGTCATCTTTTGCTGGCCCGGCCCACGGGGTTCAGGATTAGTTTGGTCTCAGTTGTGCATTCTAACTGCATATAAGCAGTTACAAAGCTTTTGCGTTATCAGGGACGGTATAATAGTGTCGAAACGGTATCACTCTGTCTTCAAGTAATAGGTCCTACGCTCCTAATGATAGCGGACCAGTGAAGTAAAGGCTCCAGAGCTGCCTACCTAGTTTATATACTGTACATGTTCTGGTGTTTTAAGGAATGATAAGAGGAGGGAACACTGCAGAATGAAATGCATACCGATTTTATTTGATCTCAAGCCTCAAAACGGAGACGAAACCAATGAGCTCACCTTGTTATTGACCCGTTGGGATCGTTGTGACCCTTAGTTACTTACTTTGTACCTACGAGAAAGTATTGATTTTAACAAAATAAGAAGGGCTGCATTGTAATGTAGGAGGCCTTGAAGGTCGGAAGTGAGGAAAAGAGAGGAAGAAGAGGGAAGAGAACAAAGGCCCAAACCCGATTCCTCCAGTTCGCTGAAACACATCCTTGCAAGTATTCAGAATTCGAGAGTTACAAGAGGAACCGCAAGGGGAACGAAAAACTGACCGAGGACTGCTCCTCTTCTTGTGCGGTAGTGCACTAATAGAACAGGTTTCTACATACCCGCTAATAATTCGGTGAATTTGCCTTCCTAAACAAACAGCAAGACCTTTTTAAAACAGAACACCTTTCTTTAGGTGACGAAGGAGCAAATTCCAATTCAGTTTCAGGATTGCTAGCAGAAAAAGATTTCTATTAACAAATTTATCAATGAAAGTTATGGAAATATTACAACCCAGTACGTGCTTTCAAGACAACCGAATTCGGAAAGCCAATGTTGACACGATGCATTAAGAGGAAGTGAATAAAAATGAGAAATGACCTCTTAGCAAACTCAGAGTAACTTCATAACTTTGGACAAATCGTCGTCAAGATAAAAACGAAATCTTTCTACATTCCAAGTGAGAATTGGCTTTTTGACACCCACGGATGAATCGATCTGGATCGTTGCTCATTCTGCACGGTATCAAAGGCTATACGGGCAGATGCAAAGTACACATGATAAAAAAAGAAATCAATTTCTTCGAATCAAAGAAATCAATCAAATAATTCGGTTAAAGTGGTAGCATACATACAATCTCATTCACATTAGTGATGATTTCCAACAGAAATAACAAAATCATCATAAGAAATGACGGGATACAGCATTATTTATTAGTTATTCACTCTGGGGATGTCCATATTATTCACGATATCAAAAATTGACTGCCTATTTCGTACTGAATCCACACGGCCCAAGATCGACGCCATCTGTTCCTGGAAAGCCGTGTCTTCCGCTTGATTCTGGGTCATACGCTCGTGAAAACTACGTCGGCGTTTTTCGCGTTCCTCTTTTTGCTGACGGAGCTGTTCCATAAGCTTCTCGTTATGCAGCTTGAGCCGTTCCTCCATTTTGGTCACGTAGTCATTCAAATGATCCAGTTGAGTGTCAAGTTTGCGGATTTCATCAATATCTTCGGAGTTCTCCTGTAGCGCTTCAAGGCCTCGCTGAAGTGCTGTCTGTGCACCATTAGCGTCGTTAAGTGGCTGGCCACGCATGCGAACCACTGGCTGCTGCTCCTCTGTGGACTCCATTATCCTCAAATATGGGTAATTAAACCTATTTCTTTAAATTAAACCTATAAATTTCTCACACGATTAGATGACATTTAGGGACGGCATGAATGTAATGTGAGAGGGATCTGTTTTTCAGAGAAAAAAAAAACTTCTAGGCATGGAACACACGAGGAGATAAATACTTCAAACCGGAGCTCGACGTAGTAATGGTAGTGACTACCTAGGCTGTATGACTTCTGAGATATGTTTCCCGATCAGTCAAACGAGGCATATCTTGTAATTACATCTGGCCAGCTAGATCGACCACAAAATACAAAATGCAGTCAGCAGCAAAACTTCTCTCTTGCTTTAACCCCGACATAGATGTTTCTGGTTACAATGTCCTTGTGC